AATCTATGAAAATATACCAGTATTGTTCACTATAGTAATATATGACCTAAAGGATGAAGTAAATTAAACTTTCATTAAATGTATGAATGACACAATGATAATATAAAAAGCAAATGAAGGAATGGTGTAAAATAAACATAACTTGAGGGAGAGTGAGATGAGATTTAATGTAAGGAAGTACAATTTAATACTTTAAAGGACTGTTAATATTTATTCTCATAGCTTCTGTGAGGAAAAAAGACTTGGGGCTAATTGTGCATAATAAACAGAATATGAACTCATAGTGTGATACTGCTGCCAAAAGATTAACAGAGTTCTGGGAGTGTTATACAGAGCTATGGGTCAGGAGGTTATAACATCACTTTGTACTGTAAATATAGCAATAGCCCCCCACATTACAAGGAAAGACATCAAAACGCTGGAAAGAGCTAAAAGAGCAGCTAAAATACTAATGATAACGAGACTAGAAAATGGGCATTATCTTCCTAACTTAGTTGTACAGCTTAGAATACTGAAGCTTTAGGGAGAACTTGGCTACCTCCTTTGTCTTGCCAATTTTCCCAGCCTTCACCTTAGTTCATTTCTCCTACAAGCACCTCTCTGCTTTCTCTCATGTCACAACTTATATATGGAAGAATTTTTTGTATAGATTCTGAGACAAAGAGATATGAGACAAGAAACTACAACTTCCAGAAAGGATCGCTGCAGCTCAGCCACTCGAAGACCATAGTGCATCATGGAATATGGAGACCAGACAGGGAAAAGAGCCCCCAGGGGATAATGTGGGCAGGAGGGATAAAGAACTACAACTCCCATGAGGCAGCATGGTGGATCAAGTAAAAACAGAGATTCTGAAATGACTCCCATGGCACTGAAGTAGTAAAGGCAATAGGAGAGATTCTGAAACAAAATGGGGAATGTCAAAACATTTCATTCTGATTGTTTCAACATTCTTGAATTGAAATGTTTCTGAACTTTCACCTTTTCATCCCCAATTGGGATGAAAACAAATGTCAAAATATTAAATTTCCCATGGAACAGAAATCCTATTTTATGATCAGCTCTAATTGTAAATGTTTTAGGGCAGGGGATGCCTCTTTACTATATATTTGTACCACATTTGGCACAATGGGGCACTGATCCCTAGCTAAGGTCTCTAAGCTGATTATAATTTAAATAATATAATTAATTAACAAAATAAAAAAATGATTCACATTCAAAAGTAAAGGAAGATGTGATGGACTAAAGTTAATCAAGGATACGAGTTAGCCCAGACAACAGAAAGCACATTTGTCTCCACAGCTGATTGCACAGTGAAACACTTTATGGAGCAATATAATTGTAGCACATTCATAAGGAGTGTTCATCAAGGCAAGTTTAGGTCAATTTTGGTCAAAGTCATGTAGGATTCTTCAGCTGGATGATTTGGCAGGGCCCTTCCAGTCAACCCTATCAGCTGTGCATCCTAGGGCCAAGTTTTTAAAAGTACCTTTAAAAATCTGCCCCCCTAACAGATATTTGTCTAGGTAGCATAATCACCACACAAGCCACAACAATTACACATGACTGCATCATTGTGTTTGTGGGTTCCTGAGTCCAGGCTAAATGGCACATCAAGTTTCTATACCCATGTACCTATACTATCTTTGACTTCAATGGGACTACTAAAGTGCTTAAAGTTAAGCTTGGGCTTAAGTGCTTTTCTAGATCATGGCATTTAAGGTCATCTGCTAGACTCCTTAACTCTCTCCTTCACTGCATCTTTCTTCTTGCAATGTGGTTGAAATTGTTTCATCTATTAGAATATTGGCGAGTCCCAGAGGTTCTTCAAGCCTTGGAGAGCTTGTAGGACCTCTGTGCCAAGTAGGAAGGAGGTTCCTTTAGCTCTCTCATAATCCCTGTAGTGAAGACATGGCCTATAGCCGCATAGATGTGGCACCATAGCATAGATGCAGCCTACAGCCATGGAAGGGTTTTTTTTCCATTGCTGTAGGAACACCATCTCCCTGAGTGATAGTAGCTAGGTTGATGGAAGCATTCTTTCATTGACCTAACTGCCTCAACACCGGGGGTTAGATGGACATAGTTAAGTGCTTGGTGGTGTGAATTTTGCACACCCCTGAGTGCTGCAGCTATGACAACCTAAATTTTAAGCGTGGGCCAGGCCAGATACTTGTGAGCCATACTATTAAACCGCAGATATGGTAAATACATAAGATACTAAGAAATTTTAAAAAAAATACAACTTTGTCCCAGACCATCTCCCTGAGTCTTATGTGGACTTTTTGAGTTTTTCTGTTTTACAGTGAGCAGGTCAGTCAAAACTGATTTTCAGGAAAATATTCATGCCTGTTTTCATTGTCTCTTATTTGCATGAATTTTTGTGTAATCCTGTCAAGCTGTTTTGTATTTTTAGGCATTATTTTTATTGCTCCTGCAACAATTTCTGTAGCCATTTTCAAATTTCATGTTCAGTTGTGAGGTTCCTTTTAACTACAAATGTCCTTTGATGAATCCAGCCACACACAAAAACATAAATCATAAATGTGTTATGCACAAGCTTATCTCTGTAACCACACAATCTTATCAGTTTCCCAACCCTCCCCCTTCTTCCTATTATTTGTAAACCCCACTTGTGTCTCGTCTGATATTTGAACTGGAAACTCTTCAGGGCACAGGGTGTCTTTTATTCTGTCTGTGCAGTGCCTAGCACATTGGGGCCCCAATCCTTATTGAGTCTCTAGGAACTATTGTAATAATAATCAGTAATTAATCAATTCATACTCAACTTAGAAATGCACACAGGCACCCCAATTGTAAAGATATGCAGAAAAACATTCACAGTGCACTCAGACATTCACATCACATGCTTGGAGGGATACAAAACACAGAGCCGAGTAGAAAGAAGTAACAAACAGTAGAGCTAAACTGAATTTTGGATTCAAATTAAGTTTCAAAAGGAATTTGGATTCAAATGAAGTTTGCCAGTTTTGGATTTAAATAAGCACTTGTGATTTTTTAAAAAAAAATTACTTAGCTAGCTGTGCAATTTCTATTAGTTTGTCCATTCAGAGCATACAGTTCAGTCATAACCAACATTCAGAAAGGTGAAATTCAGGCAAGAGAAAAATAGATTAATATTTTATCCGAAATGAAATTCTGCCTCCTTTGTTCACCACTACATCACAGGTCTAAAACCACACCAGACATTATATACCTGGCTAGGTACACAACACAACACACACAGCAAATATAGGTGAATGGCACAGAAACGCAAGATCCACATGTAGACACAGAGATATGCACACAGCCCACATACTAAGTAACTCACCTAGCAAAATGAACACAACACAAATGGCAATGAAAAGAGCGTGAAACAGGACAGTCAGAAACAAACACAAAGAGGGTGCAAACAGAACACAGCAAACATCTGGTCAGCCGATGGTATGGAACCTTGATGCCCCTGAAAGGGACTCGATAAGTGTAAAGTCACTCACACAATATAGCCACGCACGTGCAGCCACAGAGATACTGTCAGAATCCCCTGCAGCAGTGCAAGTGCGTGGGGCGAGGGAAGGGAAACCACCACATGAAGGATGCACTAAAAGTGTATAGCATAGAACCGGCTAATGTGAGCCAGTGACAAATCGGGCCAGAGAGTGGGCGGTAGCATGGGTGTGCCTAAATGAGCCTGGAGTAAGGACGCGTGCACGATACAATGACAGGGGGCCATCAATCAGAGGGCGCCTGTCCCGGTGTGAACAGCCCGGTGGTTATCAGCGACAGTAACTGGGTAAATAAAGCCCACCCCGCCCCCTCATCGCCCCCTGCCTTGATAAGAACGTGCTGGCGGGGGCGCATCCAAGGGCTTATCAAGTCTCACAACCCACAGAGGAAACAAAGCTCCCCGGTTCAATGAGTGTGCGGGGAGGGGCTGAGGGGCTTTGTACGACCTGGGAATTGCAGGGAAGGGGCGCAAGGGCTTGTTGATCCAGGGAACGGGAAACCTCGATAACATGCAGACTGGTGGGGAGGAGAGGGGAGGCGGGGTGGGGAGGGGCGGCTCAGGAGATCTCAGTACCAGCAACTCGCTCCCGAGCCCTGGAGTTACTTTGGGAGCAGGGCTGGAAAGGAAACCACAATGTCAGGCCCCTGCTACCCAAAAGTAGGAGTAGTGGGCGAACGGGTTAATACGCTCCAGAGGCGGGGTTATGGGGGGGGGAGGGGGCTGAGGTGTTTGATTCAGGGGAACCCCGTAACACCCAGATATTCCCCAGAAGCAGCGATATTGCGCAGGGGAGGCGGGGGTTGATGCCGGGGAACCAACACCTCCTGCTCCCCAGAGGCGGGGATATTGGGGGGGGCTGATGTGTTTGATACAGAGGAGCCCCAATAACACCCCCTGCTCCGCAGAGGCGAGGATATTGGGGGCTGGGGTATTTGATACAGTAAAATCCAGCTGTTCCCCAGAGGCGAGGATATTGGGGGGGGCTGATGTGTTTGATACAGAAGAGCCCCCAGTAACACCCCCTGCTCCCCAGAGGCGGCGATATTGGGAATGTGGGGTGTTTGATACAGTAACACCCAGCTGTTCCCCAGAGGCGGGGCTATTGGGGGGGCTGAGGAGTTTGATACAGTAACACCCCCTGCTCCCCAGAGGCGGCGATATTGGGGGCTGAGGTGTTTGACACAGTAACACCCCCTGCTCCCCAGAGGCGGCGATATGTGGGGTGTTTGATACGGGGGAGCCCCGGTAACACGCCCCCTGCTCCGCAGAGGCGAGGATATTGGGGGGCTGGGGTATTTGATACAGTAACACCCAGCTGTTCCCCAGAGGCGGGGCTATTGGGGGGCTGAGGAGTTTGATACAGTAACACCCAGCTGTTCCCCAGAG